CAGAGCCTGGAGCCTGATTCTGTGTCTCCCTCTCTCTCTGACCCTCCCCCCGTTCATGCTCTGTCTCTATCTCAAAAATAAATAAACATTAAAAAAGATTTTTTTTAAAGAATGAAAGAACCACAGCCTTGCCTTTTCCACACCCAGCTAGGGCTAGAGGAAGCCTTAGAGCAGCCCCAGCACCCACATTCCATCTAGGCCCCTGGGGACAATCTGAAGAATAACGCCTCTGGCTTGAAGTCACTATCCATCTGCTTTTTGGCCGATACCCCCATCTTCCCTCTCCTAATCAGGGGCTCGGCTAGTACATTTACCATCAGGACCATCACCAGGGGCTCCCTTGGTATCCTATGCCCTGTCCATTCACCCACATCTCACCTATCACATGGTTGCTGGGGGCTCTGCCCAGGCCAGGCCATCCCTTTGCTCTAGTCAGTAACGGTGTGTTTGCTATGGGAACATGACTGGGCGGATGAGCGAGGCAGTGAGCTCTGCATGGGGTCTCACAGTGGTTGTCCCCCCAGCCACAAGCCTGCCCCTCCTTCCTGCACCCTGGGCTCTCCCTCAGCCCCATGACACCTCTCACCTGTCACTTGTGCCCCAGGGAAGGGCAGCACTGTCACAGAGCCCCCTGCCACAAACATAACTACCCCCACTCAAACTCCAAACTCCAACTAAGGAGACAAGAAAGGAGACAACAGTCATCAGGGGGAGGCCCCACTAGGCCAGACACCTGACCAGAAGCATCTACACCCACTCAGTTTCTTTCTAGAGCCATGTGGCCTCAAACACAGAAACGTCAAGGGTCAGACCCATCCAGGACAGGGGCAGCAGCTGCCCAGAAAGGTGGGCAGTGGCTCTCAGTCCTCAGTAGGCACCAGAAGCACTGAGCAGTCAACCATACTAACGCCCAGAGGATCAAGGTCCAGAGCGATGCCTGACGGCTATGGTTTTGGCCAAGCACACCAAGGTGGAGAAGCACCCCAGCAGGAACACCCTCACACACAGCCTTGCACTCAGAGCCAGTGATCGGGCATAGAGGCCCCGGGGCTGCAGCTTTGCTCACTGCACCCTGAGGGCTGAACGCTGAAGTCCCATCCAGAGCCCTGTCCATACCTCAGATGGCAGATAAGGCCAGCACCTGCAGAGAGCCCTAGGGATGACCGCAGCAGCAAGCTAACTTCCAGTCCCAAAGTCCCAAATGCCTGTGCGAGCAAAGGACCGGCTAGCAGGGCTCGGGTTCAGCTCCTAGACGCTCACTGGGCTGAACGCCTGGGTCACGGAGGGATGAGCAAGACCCTCCCAGCTCACAAGGCCAAACCTCAGCCTGGGTGGAAGCGGGTATGCCGCGGGACCGCGAGGAGGGAGGGCCTGCGCCAGGGGCCTGGGCATGTGGGGAGAGAAAGCCCAACGTGGGCCGGGCTCCAGGTGAGGGCCCAGCAGGGGCGGGGCCCAGCGGACCCTGCAGAACTGGCAGGGAGGGTCGGGGGCGTGCATGCATCCAAGTCAGAGTGGCCTTCGGCAAGGTGGGCAGGATCTAAACCCCTGCCCCCGACTCTAGCCGACCCTAGGAGGAGAGAACAGGAAGGGCAGATGCGGAAGGACTGGGCCACCCGGGCTTCCCTGCTCTGGCCGCACCCTAGTCCTCCCCGCAGCCGGCGGGGCCCAAGGCTCCCAAGGCCGGCGGGAGACTAAGGGAGGGGGCGGCAGGTGGCGCCACAGCCTCCGCGGGTCCAGGCCCCAGTGCCACGGGCTGCCGCTTCCGGGAGCCCCGGCCCTGCCGCAGGTGCTGCGCAGCCACCTGAGCCCCGCCGGCCCGGCCCTCCCCCGAGGGGACCCCGCTCCCACCTCGGAAGGGCAACGGCGCCCCCAGACGCACGCGCACGGCCCCCGCCAGCGGTTCTCCAGGGCTGTAGACGACGCGGCCGTGGCTCAGGCAGACCTCGAAGAGCTGCACCCGCCCCATGCCGCCGCCCTGGCCGGGCGGCCGCGCACTGATGCCCCCTCCCGCCGCCG